ATTGGTCATAATATGTGTCTGTTGCATATGAACAATGTGTCTGTTGCATATGAACAATGTGTCTGTTGCATCTTAATATCTATCCATAATAGTTATTTGTCACATCAGTTGCTGTATATAAATTTGACAGAAAAAGAACATATCTATCCGATATCAAGAACAATTTTCCAATCCGAGCATTGCTCTCAAGTAGATAAGGCACATAATACTATCCCTAACGTCAATGGTTCCATCCCCACCCTTGCTAAGAACAATTAAGTTCATGATAACTCCCCGGATATGCTAACCGCAGGCTGCCAGACTCGACATTCAACAATATGGGTAAGTTTATTCTCACATATCTCAGCTAAGAACAAACAATCAAATGTTAATGAGACATTCAAATGAGCACAAGGAGCCAAATATTGTTGGCACATTTAAACTCATTGAACTACAATTAAATGCTCCTTGTAGTTCACAAACCAAACAAGCACCATACGCGAGAAGCCTGAGAGGGAAAAGTCGTGCACCTGTGTGGCTTCAATGCCGTAATTGACTACCGTAATCGGCATTGAATTTTTCATAGCGTGGAGCATCCAAATGAGCAGATGGTCGTGTGTGACGTAAGGAGATCTCTATGTCGGAAGCTGTGATTGGTCCAATTTTGGGCAACTCTGCAGTCATGAAGAGTTATTATTTCAGATCTAATTGCAGAATCACAGTACAGAGGGAAAGACTGATCTCCCATATGCTCAAAACCAAGATTCTTGAATGTATTTCATTAGATTTTTAATTTATATAATACAGATCTAATCCGCTCGATGGACACCGGCAATTCTGAACATAGAGATTGCAGGAGCAAAGACTTGGAAGGCTTCCCCATATGGAGAATATCAACGATATAATAAAAGTCTATTACCAGGCAGGGAAATTTTGAGAGAAATAGAGATTCTTACTTTTAGACAAAAGAGGAAAACAAAAGAAAAAGCAAAAAGATGCGTTTAAAAGTCCCATACCTTCTTCAGGAACTACTCCATGCTGTTCTTCGGGCAACCCTTCTTGTTGTTTCTCAAGTTGAGCCATTACGCGACGTAGCGGCTGCATAGCAGCCTCTTTGCACACTAATCTAATATCAGAACCTGAATAGCCTTGTGTTCTCTCCATCAATAGATCGTAAGGAAGTTCCTCATCTCCAGGTTGAGGAGGAAGAAGTTCTTCAAACATAGCTCTTCTAGCTTCTGGTTCCGGCAGAGGCACGAGGATCTTTTTTACCATGGTCAAAGGAGTATCACTTAGTGATATGACCAACTCAAATGTGGTCGTGTGATTGAAAGATCATCTAAATTATCATGCAGATAGAAGTTTTAAGCAAAAAGATCAGAAACTTAATATAAATTTAGTAGCAGTTTCTAAATTATATTCTTTTGTTCTCATCTCAAATTCAAATTCAAAATCCAAATTTCATTTAATTAAACTCATTTGATAATCATTTTGTTTTTGGTTTTCCGTTTTTTAAAATTATGCTTATAAACACTACTTCCACCTATGTCTTCGTTTTGTTGTCTTCCACCTATGTCTTGAAAATTATACTTTTTTTTTAATGTTTTCAAACTCTAAGTCGAACTAAATTGAAAAACTTGTTTTTGTTTTTGAGAATTAGGTAAGAATTCAAATGTGTCTAAAAAAAAAAGGTGATAACCACACATTTAGATTATATTGAAGCATCCATTCAAATGAGGCAGTATCTGATTTAGGGTTATATTTAATATGAACATATATGCAATTGTGGAGTTTGGAGACAACACAGGAAATTTTATTGTTCCTTTCATTAAGAAAACAAAATAAAATAATGAAAACCCTAATTATTCAAAATCCAGAAACTAAAATTTGTCGTGCAAAAAGCTTTTCTGCTGGACCAGTAACCATGAAATGACTAATGTTTTGAGGAATATGATATAATTGGCAGTGAGCAGAATTAATAAATTCGGTTGTGACTCGACAAGCAATTGGCAATCAAATAGTAATCAATATGAAGAGACTATAACCTATTTACCACCGTTCTAATTATTCTATCAAAACAAAAACTATAGTAATTAGAGGATACTCTCTTTTCCAAACGACGGAGCATGGCCGCATCCAGTTCCCAGGGGAGATTCGTTGCCGCCAAAACAAAGACAAGCTCATCTGTCTGCATCAACCCATCCATCTGCAATCTAATCCAGCAATCAATATTTGGGTAGGGCACTATCAAATCAGAAAGATTATAACGTGGCTTCTTAACAGGTCAACGACACAATTTCTTCAATAAGATAACTGGAATCTTGATGCATTGGGAAATGATGATATAAGATGCAGTAAATTCCAGTACAGTTGGCTTAAAATGTCATAAAGAAATGGTAGCTAAAGAGTTCAGCAGGACTAGTGATAATTTAGGTATAATTATTTATAAAAGTTAACAAACAGCCAAGTTGTGGTTTGTGGGCAACAATTCAAGCACATGAAAGGTTCAAATATAAGCAAGTGAACCTCTCTCTGAAAAGGGTTATTAGGATGGGCGATAATATATATAAGATGTGTGCATGAAATTATTCTTTTGAGCAAAGCTAGAACCTGGACGAGCAACTCTGTTTTCAGACGTCTACTAGCTTCATGTTCACTGCGTCCTTCACCACGATGACTAATGATTGCATCAATTTCATCAAGAAATATAGTTGATGGTGCATGGTGCCTGGCAAGCTCAAATAAGACCTTGATGGATTTCTCCGAGTCACCTATTGAAAAATTTGGAGCAGAGAAGAGTTAAGAAACAAATCAAGTGATTAATAAAGAAGATCATCAGCTCAAGTTAAGAAATTAATAGCAGAGTGATGAAATAAAATGACACCACTACTAAAAGCATGATGCAGGAGCAGGACAATTGATGAAGTTTTGGTTTTATCATTTAAGTTATGTGGTATTTCGATTCCCAATTGTTTATTATCGTCACATCATTTTAAAAAATATCGACACAAACAAAGTTTAAATAGCAAATGCTAACCTGGTTTATGGTTGCTACAAATCTAAGGAACATAAACTATTATCACTAGAAGTAAAACAAATCGGAAACATCAGTTACCAGCTCAAAAAATTACACCGTTAATGCATCCAATAGTGACGAAAGAGAGGTGAAATTACGGGATCCAATTCTGTGGATTATTTTACTGACAGCATTTAACAGTCAGGAATCTTAAGATTTTATATATATTAGTTGGGAGACCCAAAGTTCTCGAAGGTGTGGCCATATATTTCGTGTGGCTTCATAAAAGATGTAATCATACCTCGCCACTTGCTCACAACAGATGATGCTGAAATATTGAAAAATGTTGTCTTGCACTCTGTTGCAACAGCTTTTGCAAGCATGGTCTGAATAATTAAAATGAAAGGTTAGTCTAAATAAGGCAAAAGTAGACCTTAAAACCTTCATTACAATTCAAAATTAGTAATATAAGAGACTCTAAAATGTCAATTGACCAAAAACAAAAATCTGAGAAGTGGCAAAGATTGTGGAAAATACAACTCTATGCAAATGCCTTTACAAGCATTATCCAACATTTCTCTACGTGATCAAAAGGAAGGGTAAGTAAGCTATAATTGCAGAATGCCAGAAATATAAATTTACAAGCTAGTTTACAAATAATGATTTTTGATTCATAAAAACATGGATCAGCCTCATCAAGCAATAACTTTATCTTTTTGTGAAAGAAACAAATGAAATTGCATCAAGCAATAACTTTAGGGAGAGGCCTTTCTATTTTAGTATCATCTCACTTTACTGACTGTGACTACAGCCGAACACCAATCTAAGCTTGAAAGTCATAATAAAGATTTCAGCTAAAACATACATACCTTTCCCGTTCCAGGAGGACCAAAGAGGAGGATCCCTTTCCATGGAGATAGGAGACCCCGAAAGTAACTACAAGGGAGATATGTGATTATAATAATGGAGTTCACAATAAGATTCCAATAGAGATATGTGAGTTTATTAATGGAGTTCACAATAAGATTCTAATAGTCCAGAAACAATTATTAGGTGTTGAAATAATCCAGAATACACCGACCAAAAAAAAAACCTCACTTGGGGTATTTTATTGGCATGACCACTGCTTCTTTAAGTAAGCATTTGGCATGTTCTAAACCTTTGATGCTTTCCCACTTAATATCTGGATTTCCACGTATTATATCCCTGCATAAGGCAGTGTAAGACAGTAAGGATGCTAGGCAAAATGTTAATAAAATAATAACGTTACTTGCTAGAAGGCCCAAAGGTTATAAAGATAACCTCAATTTAGGTGTTCCACTTTGTCAGTTACCTACATATGCTTTCAGCTAAGTTACGCATTTCTGCAGATTCAAATGGAGGAAGCAAAGGCTTTTGTCTGAGAAGGTGAAAGAAATAATAATCATAATTGGGTATGCTACTAAATCACAGGAAAACCTTAATTCTTAAAACAACAATTCATTTTAAATCAAAATAAAAAATCCCTATAATGTTGGTGTATGAACATTCACTTAGACATAAGTAGAGACAGATGTCATAATGTTGTGTTGCATCATTACATAATTGATTGCTTTACTATTTCAAAAGGGACGGAGGCACCCTGAAGAAAACCATAAGAGTTAAGCATGTAATATTTTGTGTATCGTGAGTATTCATCATTGTTTTACATTCGAGTGCAGCTCAATAATAAGAACCTCATAAGCAGTTGGTAGGAAATTATTTGAAGCATACAACTTTATCATACAGAGTACAGATGATGGAATTTGTTTGCAAATGGTTGAAGATAGTCCTTAAATTTGAGTATTAACTCGAGGCTTCAAGCAGTTCTAGCTGATAACCAAGTTAAGACCTACGCTGGTAATTAGAAACTCTGCCATCAAAATTCACTTGCATAACTAACATCTAAAAATACCAAAGAATGAGTATCTTTCAGGCTCTCAAATTCATTCACATTCCTTAAGAGCATGCCACACACTCAGGCAGATGTTTCCTTATGTTCCGGATTTCAGTTAGAAGTACAGCACCCAGTTCAAAGAATAAGAAATGTAACCTTAACCAATAATTTTGTGCACAATTTCATTGACAATTTCCTTTAGTATTTTCTTGACGAAATGCTCAGTAATCTACTTTGCCGAGAATGTCTCAACCAACGTATCAAAGCCTGATAGTCAACCTAATTTCAGCCTATCATGTCTACTGCAGTTCCAGATAAACTATTGTGTTCTTTGAATCTAGTGAAAACAGACATACAAGTGCTATCATCAATTGATAGAGACAACTTACATAATCACTGTATTTTGGTTGGATAAAGCAACAGGTGCAGATCTTGAGCTACTCTGCAACATAACAATTAACAAGGAAAATTTGATGGAGTCATCAGCACTTTTACCAAACGCCATGCATCCCAATCAGTCAACCTATTGTCACAACTAAAAAGTCAAAAACATTACCTGCATTCGGAACTGCTCGTAGATGGCCAATTCAGGCCCGTGCGTATTTCCATTTGCCGTTGCGCCCAAAGTAATCTCACTTTGCAAAGCCGCATCAGAGACCTCACCATTCTGGGACTTCGACTCCCTCTTTCTCCCGAATTTGGAATCGTAGAACCTTCTGAAATCCTACGGGCAGATAACAAACAGAAGAACATTACACACCGTTGATCAAAAGACAAAGAAAAAGAATATATATCAAGGAAGAAAAATACACAGCAGCAATTACACCACATGGCTAACACGAAACGATTTGAAATGATCAAAAGTTCGATTAAAACAGATAAGAAACCTAGGGAAGGTATAACAACTTTGAATAAATATTCTTCACTCTTCCATTTTTCTATTCCAAAAATTTTCCACAGCAACAGACCGGTCTAAGGCTATGGCAGAATTAAAAATTAGTCAAAGTACAGATATTATCCGCTCATCTCTGACTTTTTCTCCCCAAGCAATCAAACAAAAACAGTTGGAGAGAAAAGTAACCAACCAGTGCCTGGAACGTCCAGCGAGTTGGAGCAGCTTCTTCATCGGTGGCCATTGCAGTGATTGAATTGGAATGAAATAATGGAAGAACTGTGTGTCGTCCTCCTCAAGCTCGCGATTTTCAGTTGCAGAGTGCAATGGAGGAGTATGAGAAACATCTGTTAAATAGATAGAGAGCACAGAAATGAGAGTGAGAGCAGACGTAAAGAAGAAGAAAAAAGCAACAGAGTTTCCAGCTGTCGACATAATACAAAGAACTTTTGCCAATTCGCCTTTCTGCCTTAAACGTGCAAATTTAATTTCAACAGTTTATTGTGTAAAACAAGATAAAAAAAAGTATCAAGGTTATAATAAAATGACAAATCTTTTTTATTTACTTACATAAGTTAATTTGACAATAAAATAAATACATTAGTTAATTTTAATTATATTAGAGTTGATGAGGGGAAAATTACTTGAGAGGTTGGAATAATGTGATTGATAATATTGTTGTTGGATGTCCGAGATAGTCATAATAAAGTTAAGGTGTGTTTGAGAGTGATGCTAGAATTAACGATTTAAAAAAAATTAAGTATAATTGATTTTTTAAAATCACTATTTTAAAAATCAATTTAAAATGATTTTAAACTTTTCTAAAATCAATTTTTGAAATTGTCAAACATGATTAATGAAAAGCGAAACAATTTTGACAATAGCAGAAGTGATTTTTACTCAGCTCACTCCTAAACACACCTTTAGTGATTGAAAGTATTAAATATATGTTTTAATGGTTAATGTTTGCTTATTTTTTCCAATTTGGTATTTATTGTTTAAAATATTTTAATTTAGTCTTTTTATGTCGTAACATTTTCGGATTTAGTCCCATCGATAAATATGTTGATGATAAATATACATATCTTAGTATTTATTGACTTGCCAAAATTTACATGAGAAAAAAAGTAATCCACATCAAGAAATTTTCTAATTCCTCATTTAAATTTCTATGAAATTAGAAAAAATTTTGAGTTTACTCGACTTTTTTTCTCTTCTAAATTTATGCCAAGGTATTATTCTAAGTTTATCATCAACCAATTTTCACAGTCACAAATAGTTCGATTTTGAATCGTGGAAATGATTCAGTTTGATCTCTAAGTTGTGGGAAGAGTCTATCGTTGTAGAGTGTTTAATGAGTAATGAGAAATAGAGTAGTTCACACCGTAAAGTTTGGTGTCAAATTCTCTGACACTCTCCTAATTAATTGCATGAAATTAATTCATTGTATTTATTGTGGTATTAATTGCTACTCTCAAGTTTTATTGGTTGATAATTACTTGGTGGTATAATTATTATTATTTTTTCTTTTTTTGAGGAATTGTGGTATAATTAATTAGAGTGCTTCTATTACTAAATTTTATTTATGTTTAGTTTGAAATAAAATTAATGGTTGGTAAAAAGCACATTAATTTTTTAATTTACGCCCATCTTAAAAAAAATTAATTGAAGTTGAATTAAATAACCCTATTCACTATTTTAATATTTATAAACTTGAAATATATCTTTTGCCTACTTAAAATAATAGGTTTCGATCTATATTCAAGTATATTATACATTAAAAAAAAGCGCTATGATAGTCAATCCATTAAAAATATTACTATGCTGATCTTTTGATAAAAGTTATGTGATAATTTTTGTCTCATTTTAAAACTATTTTTAAAAGATTTCACAAGTATTTTAATGTTAATTTGATAGTACTAGGAATTTAATTGAAGACTTGATACAAAATGAATTTGTAGTATATATTTGATATTTTACAATAAATAAATTGGTGTCTTTATCTACGAGTTTCAATACGAAACTATACTCAAATATATATATATATATATATTTTGAAATCAAATAAATGATTTAATTATAATAAAATCATAACATAAATAGGCACTCCACGTTTCAATAACTCATATTAAATATAACTAAAGGTTTACTTAGTTAAGGTAAATGAACGCAAGTAAATTTTTTTAGCAATTACTGTGTTTTCTTTCTTTCCTTCCTAACAATTATATTAGTCTTTTTTTAGTGTTAACATGTTTGGGTAAAAATCCAAATCGACCTTATAGTTAGAAAATTATACTTTAACCGGTTGCAATTTAACAGGTGTATTAGTATTTTATATTTTAAATAATTTTATATTTTTCTTGTGCAGAATATTTAATTGATAGGAAAATGTAATATAAAATTGATAACATTCGAGTTAGCTCAACGGTTAAGGCACCTAAATTCTTTCTTCAAGATCAAAAGTTCAATCCCCATCTCCATAATTGTTGTCCTAGAAAAAAACACATTCCATTACTTTCAAATGTTTCTTTCCTACCCTTTTAAATTAGTTATTTAATAACAAAATTATTCTCAAAATTTTAAAAATAAAGAAGCTTAAAAGATTAGTTTGCGAAGCAGAATTTTCAAATAACTTTTAAAAAGTACACTCAAACAATTTCAAAGTCTTTTAAATATTAATTTAATAATTTTTCAGCTAGCACATCACATCACGTTTTGTATTGAATATTCAAGCTTAATTTGAATGGTACTAAAAAATATGTATAGATTTAAACCTTCACAAATTAAATCAACAAATAAGTCAAAACAAGTATAGTTCAACAATAATTTATATATATTTTTAACGAAGAGGTGGTGAGTCATATTGTACTCAGAAAAAAAATTAAATCAACAAAGAGTTGAAATAGGTTGAATCCACAGCCTTTGTTACATAAAGCTAAACCAATAAAACTTATAAAATTAAAAATTTAACCAAACCGATTAGATATTTCCATGATTACCTTTATAATAGTTATTATTATTATTGTGAAATTATGATTTCTTTAATTTAATTATTTAACAATAGGAATAGGGTGGTTGTGTTACCAACCCTAATAAACTTTTGGGCTGCCATTGGCTTGGCCCAACCTCTAGGCCTCTTATTCAATGCTTTTTTTAATACATTTTCTTTGGACTTTTTGGAAGAATCATTCAATGCAATTAATTGATACATTGATAGGTATTTTAAATATTATAATTTCGATTCATTCTAAAAAATTATACTTTTATCTTAAAATAAACTCTTTGAGATAAAACCCATCAATAATTTATCAATATATTTTTTTATATTAACACTTTCTTTTCAGTAGAAATAAAGTTTTAACATTGCTACATTCATACTTGAGAATATGATTAAATATACTTAGATAATTTTTTAAAAAATTTCAATTTTTTCAATTTTTGGTTTTTAGAATATATTAGATCACATAGTTTCTTTCAAAAAAAAAAAAGAAAAGAAAGAAAGAAAGATCACATAGTTATATAACACATACAGGTACACATTAAATCATTTTTGCCACCACATACCTGAAAAGTGGACTGACCTCCCAAGACCTCCAGAGTGTGCTCAATTACCCTCCAATGCCCAAACAAAATAGTATTTTAAGATTTAAGATAATAGGAAATGTAGAGATAATATATAGACTCACCATGACTTCTATAATTAAATTTTTTAATTAAAAGTTTTGTTAGACACAAATAAATTTGTTTTGTCAAAAAAAAAACAAATAATTATACCACAATTATTCATCATTTTTACAGTATTTTTTTAATATTATTCGAGTATTCAGCAATAACATTACATTCAATTTATACAACTTAAACAAGTGTGTTCATAGTTTAAATTAATAATTTCTTAAAATTTGAAACTAAATGGACTCCAGAAACAAAGATGTAAACAACTTTTAGAATTTAAAAAATATATCCAACAAATATAATTTCATAGAAATAACAAATATTTCTTGTAAAGTGAAGTGGCATTGTTTTTTGTTTTTTTGTTTTCTTAAACAAACTCTCTTCTACTTGCCCATGCCCAATTATTGGGGATGGCCATAATGTGGCTAGTAATTTGTTTCTAATCAGGTACGTAGATTTACGAATCTACATCAAACGGTTATAAGAAGACAACCACATAATGGTAGCCTCATTCAATAATTCATCCAAATCCGTCTCTTATCTCTTTTAATAATGTCCACAAATAAATCAAATCTTTATTAAGAATTTTATAAATATACTAATTCTAAATTACCAAGAGCCTGTAGCCAAAAGAAGATGAGAGCGAGCAACAGAAGACGAAGGATGAGTAGTAAAATTTACCAGTAAAAAACACAACCCACCTAATGGGAAGACAGAGTATAGTAAAACTTTCTGGTAAAATCAATCAGCATGTATAAAACAAAATATGCATAAAAAGTATGGAACCTAAATAACTTTTCTGGAATCAAACTATCAAAATTATTGGATATACATCTATTGCAGAACAAATATTTCACAAATAAGGTATATATGCAGATAAACCACTAAAAACTACAAACTACAAAGCATAAATAAGGTTTTCATACTACATAAACTGCAAGTCATAAATCTATTGAAACTCAATGAAGGATTAATTTCTAAGTACGAGGCACAATTTTCTTTTGGTAATTAGATGCAAAATTATATTTAAAAGATTGGGAGGAATATAGAAGGCACATAAAAGTGTGTAAACTGGTTCGGTTGGTCAATTCAAGATTCACACCTACTTGTTGAATAGACCAATTGCAACATTCAATCGAGCCTTGAAATGTTTGGGTTGGGTTATTAAATTCATAAAATTGTCTAAATTGTACAACAGCACATAACAAATAAACTAATCTCTTAAAAACTCAAATATTAAATACACCTTGATCTGCTTCTACCCCATGAAATGATTGGAATGAGGGGCACTAAACCTCCAATAAGGTGTCTTTTAAAGGTACTTTGTACCTTTTCAAATCTAACAACACAAATAACAAAACATCTAGTGCCTGGAAAATTTGACAAAACAAAGGAACCTTTTAAGTTTTTTAATCATCCTTTTCAAAACACAAGTTTTATAGGCATTGACTGACATCACCTTCACACCAAATGACCCTCACCCTCCACTAATATTTTAGACTTCCCTCCTTATTTCCTCTCTCTACCTCCATCTCCCTCTTTTTCCAGATTTTTTTTCCTCTTCTCCGTTTTCTTTTTCATTATTCTCTTTTCCTCTTTTCAGCAAAGTTTTTTTTCTCATTCTCCCTAAAATTCTCTTGTAGTTTCTCTTTTCCTTCTTCCGTATTTTTTCTAATTACTATTATTCCCTTTCTTTGACCACAAAAAGCAATTTACTTTTAAAAAAACCCTAAATCTCTCAACTTTTTTTTTTAAACCAA